GGGGGGGGAGGGGTGGTGAGAAGTGCGAGGGGGGTCAAGGAGGTGGGCCCCCCCCGTTGTACTAATCCAGCACCCAGAGATACACCTGCACATAGTTGGTGCGCCATAAATATTTGTCAAATATTCTAGAATAACACCTCTCCTTCCTCACCTCACAGACCATGGAGGGACCCCCAATCTTCAACCCGGTAACGTGTCCCGTGGGCGTTTAGGGCTCTGTGGTGGGCAGTTTGTGGGGAAGCCGGAGCCGACGGTGGGCAGGGGGGCTCTGAGAGGGTGGGAAATAGAGTGGGCAGAGGGTGTTGGGGCGGGAGGCGGGGAGAGGGTGGGGCTGGTGGCCAGAGTCGGGAGGGGACGGGAGTTGGGGACATTTCCTAGGAGTGGGCACCCATCTCTGAAAATTTGTCCCTGCCTCTGGCTTCTGGTGACCTGAGAGGTGACAGGACCCCATGTTCTCCGCCCACAGCCCGTGCCATTCAGGAGGATCTTGCAAGGGGGGCTTACGGCCCGAAGAACCATCATAGTCAAGGGCTTTATACCCCCTACAGGCAAGAGGTACCCAGTCTGCACTGAAGCGGGGATCCTCAGCCCGCTTCCTCCTTCAGACCCAGGAGTCTGGGCCCCGGCCCCCTCCTCCCTCGGAGAACCAGGCACTGGCCCCCGTGTGACTCCCACCTCCTTCCCTCCCTGCCTTCAGCTTTGCGATCAACTTCATCGTGGGGTCCACGGGGGACATGGCTCTGCACATTAACTCCCGTCTGACCGAGGATACCGTGGTCCGGAACAGCTACCTGAATGGTTCGTGGGGATCCGAGGAGAGGAAGATCTCCTACAACCCATTTGGTCCTGGGAAATTCTTTGATGTGAGTCGGGGGTCTCTTTCGCCCCCTTCCCTCCAGAGCCTATGTCCTGGCCCTAGCCTCAAGCCTGCCCTCTCCCTGCAGCTGTCCATTCGCTGTGGCATAGATCGCTTCAAGGTTTACGCCAACGGCCAGCACCTCTTCGACTATTCCCATCGCTTCTCGGCCTTCCAGAACGTGGACGTCCTAGAGATCCAGGGTGATATCAACTTGTCCTATATCCAGATCTGATCTATTCCCAGAGCCATAACTCTTGGGGACACAGAGAGAAAGAGCCCACAGGACTCTCTTCTAAGCCCTTAATAAAATGTCTGAGGGTGTCTCATGCGTGTCCGTAACGTCCGTATCGCTGTTCCTTCCTTCCTTGGTTTGATCATACACTGTCCATTCAGCCACCTCATCACCTGTCCATCGATCTTCCCATCACAATAAATCTAGGAATATTCCAGACACAGATCTTGGGCTTGAAGTGTATCAACTCATTTGCTCCTCACAAAAACACCAGGAGATAGGAACTATTATTATCGTACCTCTGGAAAAGATGAAGAAACGGGCAAATTAAAATAAAGCAGGGGCGCCTGCGTGGCTCCGTCAGCCGGGCTGAGAGCTCAGAGCCTGGAGCCTGCTTTCGATTCTGTGTCTCTCTCTCTCTCTCTCTGCCCCTCCCCTGCTCACGGTCTGTTTCTCTCTTTCTCTCAAAAAGAAAAAAAAAAAAAGTTAAATAAACATTAAAAAAAATTTTTAAGGGGCGCCTGGGTGGCGCAGTCGGTTAAGCGTCCGACTTCAGCCAGGTCACGATCTCGTGGTCCGTGAGTTCGAGCCCCGCGTCGGGCTCTGGGCTGATGGCTCAGAGCCTGGAGCCCGTTTCCGATTCTGTGTCTCCCTCTCTCTCTCTGCCCCTCCCCCGTTCATGCTCTGTCTCTCTCTGTCCCAAAAATAAAAAAATAAACATTGAAAAAAAAAAAAAGATTTTTAAGTAAAGCAAATTGCCCAAGGTCACACGGCACATAAATGACAGAATGAGGATTCAAATCAAGGTGGTCTGGCTACACTCTTGGTCACTATACAACCTGTTTTTCCATCCGTCCATGTATCCACCTGTCCATTCATCCATCACCACATCCATAAATCTCTCCAAACATCCATCCAAGCATATGTTCATCTATCCACCTAAGTACACAGTCAAGGACGCCTGGCCGGCTCCGTCGGTGGGGCAGCAACTCTTGACCTCGAGGTTGTGAGTTCGAGCCCCACATCAGATGTAGACATTACTTTTTTTTTAATTAAAAGAAATTCTTTTTAGAACTTTTATTTATTTACTTTGAGAGAGAGAGAACGAGAGAGAGCAAGAGTTGTGGGGTGGTGGGGGGAGAGCAGAGGGAGAGAGAGAGAGAGAGAGAGAGAGAGAGAGACTCCCAAGCAGATTCCATGCTCAGTGTGGAGCCTGCCACAGGGCTCCATCCCACAACCCTCACAATGTGACACAAGAGGAAATCAAGAGTTGGACGCTCAACTGACTGAACCACCCAGGCGTCCCAGAGATTACTTAAAAAATTTTTTTGAAAATCTAAAACACAAAAAAATAAACATCCAACCATTCGTCCACTCACCGTCACCTAACTCTCCACCTATCCAGCCGTTTGTACATCCATTCATCACCCAACCCTTCACTCAGCCATCTGACCATCCATCCATTCAAACATCTAACCATTTATTTATTCACTCATCCGTCTGTCTGTCCATTCAGCCATCCTGACATCCAACTTGCATTCACTCATTGATCTGTTCATCTCTCCATTTGTCCGTGCAATTCTCTGCCTTCCATCACATCCATCCATCCATCCATCCATCTATCCATCTCTCCATGCGCCATTGATCCCTCTGACTAGGCATCGATTTCTTCATTCTCTACCTATCATGTCATCCATCCATATCTTTATGATATATTCTTCTATTCATTTCCAACTATTTGTCCGTTCATTTACCATTTCCTCTCTCCATCTGTCCACTAACCATCTACCATCCAGCCAATCATCCTCTTACCACCACACCCTTGCATGGATTTAATCATTTGTTCATTTGTTTACACTTTCATTCACCCATTCATTCATTCCTTTGTCATTTCCTCACTTGTTCACCTATCCGTTTATTCAGGCATTTCTCCGTGTCTATTCATTTGTTCGTTCGTTCATTCATTGTTTATTGTCTCATTTATTCCCTTAATCTAGTTCTCAAACGTGGCTGTACATTGCAATCATCTGGGGAGATTTAATTAAAAAAAATTTTTTAGAGAGGGGGAAGGGGCAGAGCAGGGGATGGGGGGGGGGGGGAATAGAGGATCCAAAGCGGGCTCCTCGCTGACAGCAGGAAGCCCCATGTGGGGCTCTAACTAACCAACTAAGAGATTATGAAGTTGGATGCTTAGGGCAGCCACTACCCAGGTTGGCATGTCCCAGGGATGTCAGCGGAGGAACAAATCAGTAGCAGAGCCTGGAGGGGCTCAGCAAGAGGGATGGAAGAGCTGGAGAGGTTATGTTTGGTTTTCTATCGCTGCTGCAGCATGTTTGAAGAAATATGGCTACAGACTTGCCAAAGTTCACAAAAGCCATTAATCTACAGATCCAAGAAGTTTAATGACTTGCAAATAGGATAAATACAAAGAGATCCACACTTAGACCCATTATTGTCAAACTGCTGTAAAAAACATAAAAGACAGAAAACCTTGAAAGCAGGAAGTGAAGAACAGCTCGTCTTGTACAGCGTTAACAGCAGTACAATTAATAGCTACCTTTTTATAGAAACAATGAAGGTCAGGGGCGCCTGGGTGGCTCAATCGGTTATGCATCTGACCTTGGTTTTGGCCCACGTCATGATCTCACAGTTCATGAGTTCGAGCCTTGCATCAGACTCTGTGCTGACAGCGCAGAGGCAGCTTTGGATCCTCCGCCTCCCTCTCTCCCTGCCCCTCCCCTGCTCTCCCTCTCTCTCTCTCAAAAATAAATAAGCATTAAGAAAAAAA